AGGCACACCACAAAAAGATCTAAAACATGACATCAATAACATAAAGCATGGAGGGGGGTGGGGGAAGGAAAAGGAAAAAACAAATAAGTGGAGGAAAAACAACCAATGACTCAAAGAAGAAATCAAACAAGAAATCAGAAACTATCTTGAAACAAATGAAAATGAAAATACAGCTTTTCAAAATGTATGGGATGCAGCAATAGCAGTTCTAGAGGGAAATTCATATTTATATAGGCCTACTTCAAGAAAAAAAGAAATATCCTAAATAAAAAATCTAACTCTATAACTGAAGGAACTAGAAAAAGAAGAACAAACAAAACCCAAAGAAACAGAAAGAAGGAAATAAGTAAAATTAGAACAGAAATAAACAAAATAAAAATTAAAAACAATAGCCCTGCTGGTATTGCCCACTGGTTAAAGCATTGGCCTGCAGACCAAAGAGTCGCTGGTTGGATTCCCAGTCAAGGGCACCTACCTAAGGTTGCAGATTCAATTCTGGTTGGGGAGTGTGTGGTAGACAATCCATTGATGTCTCTCTCTCTATCTCTTTCTCTCTCTCCACGCCCTCCCTTCTACTCTCTCTAAACAACAACAACAACAAAAAATCAATGGAAAAAATATCCTTGGGTGAGAATTAACAAAAAGGTTTTTTTTAATAAAAAATAAAAAACAATAAAAAAGATCAATAAAACTAAGAGCTGGTTCTTTGAAAAGATAAACAATTTAACAAACCTTTAGCCAAACACATGAATAAAAAGAGAGGGAGACCAAATAAGTAAAATAAATGAAAGAGAAGTTACAGCTGACACCACAGAAATAAAATAGAAATATACCCATAAAGAACAAGCTGATGGTTGCCAAAGAGGTGGGAGGATGGGAATAAAAAATAATTACACAAATAAATAAAAAAGTAATACCCCAGGAAAAATAGATCATATATCAAAGGAATTATAATTACACTACACTTCTTGAATACTAATTGAATATTTGATTAGTCAGCTTGAATAACTGTTTTGCAGTTCTAGTATTATAAATGCAGAATAATCATACAAACAAGAGGTACAGGAAAATGTAGAAAGTGATATAAGAGCTCAATCTTCATATTCCTTAGTAAGCAGTCAATAGGTAAATTTAAAAGTGGGGGAAAAAAACACCTAACATTAGCAATATAAATCTGATGCTTACAAAATAGATGTAAGACTAGAAGAAATAATCAGAAATACCAGAAAGAATTTAAAGGAATTGGAAGTGAGAGGGAATGGAATAGGAAACAGATAATTTTAAAGTGTATATCAAATTATCAGATTTATTAACAACAAAAAAATTAAAAGTTTAGGTTCATTTAGCTGGTATCCAAGGCAGCTAAAATCTGAGGGGAAAAAAAATGAGTTAAGAATCCAGGAACCGTTGAGGCTTAATTAGGCCAGTTTAGGGAAAGAATGTGTCTCCAAGCCTCTGAGTTCAGGATTGTGGGCACAGCATAGAGATTGTGGATATTTCTTTATCCAGGCTGCACCATCTCCTACCTGTTCTGCCTTTTGTTTCTTTGTTTACACCGGAGTGACCAGCCAGAAACAAAATGTCAGCCAACTCTCCCAGGCATTGTCTAAGCAGGAGACTTCATCACTGCCAGCCAGATCACCTTTGCCTTTTCCTTCTCTCTCCCTTTCTTTGGGAGCTTCCAAGGTACTTTTGGGAGGGAGCTCCCAACAACTCTCAACACTGTTTAAGTTCCTTCAACAGAGTTCCAAGTTGGAGGCCTGTTTTCATAGATTCAAACTCCGAACACAGCAGGGACCACCTGGGAGGCCTGGGGTTTTCATCTCCCCTTCTTCTCTTTCTGAGGTTCTTTCAGAGGTGCAGAATGATGTCATCACCATTAAAGTCAGACTTATAGCCCAGCCTCTTGTTTGCTGTGTGACCTTGAACAAATTACTTAACCTCTCTGAGTTTCACCTTGTTAGCTGTAAAAAGGAGAGCATAATAATATATAGGGTTGTTGTAATCACTTAAAAAGAATAATGCATGTAAGGTGGGTTGCATAGCTCCTGGCTGACTGAGTGCTTGGAACATGAAGCTATTGACCATTACCCATATACTTGGAATCACCTTCCAGCCATCCCCTGTCCCAGAGTCCCCAGAATGACACTGGGAGTTCCTTTTGGAGTCAGGGTACTCCTCACCTATACCTGGCACTCCACGTTAACATTTACCTCCACCCCAGCCAGTCTTCTCTTTCCATAAGATCAGCTTTCATCTTGTCTTCTGGCCAAAGGGGTTATAATCTCTCTTGCTTTTGTCTGGAATCTTAAAAGCCCTACCAATTGATGGTTCGAAAAAACAATGGGATTGGGTTCCTGGTTCCCAAGAGGGAGCGAGGGAGCAGCTGGATGATGCTGCCTGAGGGGAGGATGGGGGCGGGGGAAGGGGGGCGGGGGGGGGGGCACTGTTAGGCCAGTGAGACTTTGCAGGAGCATGAATGGTGTGAAATGAGGAAGAGAACCTGTTGAGGGGATCTTGACATCCCAAAGGAGGCTCACCAGAGAGTTCACAGGAGGCACTGAGAGAAGGATCTGTACCCCTCAGCTTCTGTAATAGGCCCCCAGAACTGTCCCCCCCCCCCCCAGGCTTGCCCACACAGGGAAAAAGACATGGTTCCCCAAAGGAAATTAGGGTCTTGAAAGAAAAACAGATCTTAAGCAAGGCCCTAAAATGCTAATTATCTATTATATACAGAACCAGGATCCAGATAACATCCCACAAGATCAGAACAACTGGCTAGCTAGATCCAACAAGATAAAATAAACATTAAAAAAATGTAGTCTCCTACACGGAGGGTCAAGAAACCAACGGCACACAAAGATGTGGAAAACCTACCAGATCAATAATGGGCAAGTGATGTGGCTGCCAGAATCATTAATTCAGTGTGAGACATATTAATGGAGGAGTAGAATCTAGGAAAGGGGAGGTGAAAGTTCAGCTTTATTCCCAACTGAGTTCAATTCCAAGAGTAATACTTTAAAGGGGACTTTGTTGACCGAGTAAGAAGCAAAAAGAGGAGATTTGTCGCAAGGAAAACAGTAGTAGAACTGGTGAGATGATACGGTTAAATGGGAAAAGCCAGAACCCTCTCCCAGAGTCAGAAAAGCTGGATTCCAATTCCACTATTTATCAGTTATTAAAGATTGATCATTCTTCACATCACATACCATGTCAGACACAAGTGAGCCCTGAACTGCTTTTCTGTAAGAGCCAAGGGGAGGAAAACACTGGGAGGGAGAGTTCAGCTCAACCCTAGAAAAAAATGTCTTTCTTTTTTTTAGTGACACTTGTCATTCTTATCTCTGGTGACAAAAGAAATTCATGGTTGTATAAAATATTGGTAAACAGAAAAGCAAAATTAGGTAAAAATCACATCTCAACTCCCACTTACTTTCTAATATTTAAGGATAAGCTACATAGACAGACAGATATGAACAAAAATTATTAAATAATTATCTGATCTAATTTAGAGTATCAGCATGTAAAGATGTATGTATTTGTATGTAAGGATGTTTATTAATATTGTTTCTAGTAGAAAAAAACTTGTAAACCACTATCAGTAGGAGAATACTGGGAGTGTCTGAGTAAATGATTGTGCATACAGATCATGCAAGACTGTGCAGCTCGTTGAAAGAAAAGAGTGGAACTAATAGGTATTACCTTCAAAATGTTTCCACATATATTGCTTGAGGCAAACAAAGTTATAGAATAATATGCATGGGGGGGGATGAGGACACATTTGTAATACGTTAACTAATAAAGAATTAAAAAAAGAATAATATGCATAGTATGATCCCATTTGTGTAAACAAATGCATGTACATATATATTTTAAATGTTTTCATTGATTTTTAGAGAGAGAGGAAGGGAGAGAGAAAGAGAAACATTAATGTGAGTGATCATTGATTGGCTGCCTCCAGATCCAGCCCGCAACCTGGCCATATGCCCTGACCAGAAATCAAACTAGCAACCTGTTGGTACATAGGAGCATGCTCAACTAACTGAGCCACACCAGCCAGGGCCACATATATGTTCTTATAAGCAAAGGAAACAGTATGATGTTAACTGTGGGTCCATTTGGGAGGGCACAGTTGGAGAAGCCAATGCTAAGACAGTTAACATGTTCTTTGAACATTTCTGTGTTGTTTGAATTGGGATGATCAGGATATATTATTTCTAAAATTCAAATGACTGAAATTTAAATAATCAAACAATAATCTACCCTGGAAATTTCTCCATGCCATTAAAGATACTCTATCACATCTAATGACCACATATATTCCTTGTGTGGATTTCTCTTAATGTATTGAACCTAATGTTGGATATGTAGTATATCAGCAGTTGTCCAAAGAGGGTCTAGGAGCATTTTGACAATGTCTCTCAGAATTGAAAATGTGCAGACACATAGATCTAACCATGCCTCAGGTAAGAAACTATCTGACAGGTACACTCATACATGTGTATAAAGATATCTATGCAAGATTTGGTCCCTGCCTCATTATTCTTTTCTTAAAAAAATAAATCTTGCCAAAACCGGTTTGGCTCAGTGGATAGAGCGTCGGCCTGCGGACTGAAGGGTCCCGGGTTCGATTCCGGTCGGGGGCATGTACCTGGGTTGCGGGCACATCCCCAGTGGGAGATGTGCAGGAGGCAGCGGATCGATGTTTCTCTCTCATCGATGTTTCTAGCTCTCTATCTCTCTCCCTTCCTCTCTATAAAAAATCAATAAAATATATTAAAAAAATAAATCTTTATTGTTCAGATTATTACAGTTGTTCCTCTTTTTCCCCCCATAGCTCCCCTCCACCCAGTTTCCACCCCACCCCCTGCCCTTACGCCCCCCCCGCCCCCCACTGTCCTGTCCATAGGTCCTGCCTCATTATTCTTGCTAGCGAAAGGCTAGAAACAACCTACCTGTCCAACATCAGGGACTATATAAATAAAAATCACAGGCTGACCATATACTGCAATTCTCAATAGCCGATATAAGAAATGAGATGGATCTGTAGACATGTACATGGAAAATGTGCCAGGATATATTGCAAAGTGAAGGGGGAAGGCAAGTTACAGAACAATATGTACAGTGTGATCTCTTTTCTCTTTAAAATATATATGTGACTGTACATTGGAAAAGATCTGAAGGATACACATCAAGCTGTAAGTAGGCTTTACCCATACGTATGTCCGTATCCCTATAAGGATATAAGTAGGGCATAAAGGAAGTGAGCTCCCCGTTCCCTGAGGTATGCAGAGATCAGCTGCCTCATTCTGAGCGGCATTATGGAAGGCATTTCCACATCACTCAGGGGTGACCTAGGTCCCCTCTTAGCCCTGAGACTCTCAGAGAATGGAGAGGTCCGGGCTAGGAGAGGAATCCACGCCTAAGGGGAAAGGGTTAAGTGAGGATGCGGTTGCTGTGGGCGGGCTCAGCAATCGGCAGCGCCAGGCTCTGTTAGCCAAGTCTGAGCATCTCGGAGGATGCGGCGCTGCAAGCGGCTGCTGGGACACGCGCAAGGTGAACGCGGGGGCTGCCTGCGCGACGCCCAGGTGAGGAACTGGCAAAGGAAGGGGGCAATGGTGGGGCCCAGGCAGGGAGCATGGCCTCAGCCCCGGTCTCAGCAAGGCGCAGAAGGTCCTGCACCAGAGCCCACCCCCACCCAGGACACTGCGGGGAAGGCGCGGAGCCAGGGGCCAGGAGAAGGAGGACGAGAGGTAACCTGAGATGGGCCAGCTCCCAGACGCTGCCCTGCACTGCCCTCTCCCTAGACCCTGAGGCAAGGAGATACCCTTCCCCCCTCCAATAAACCCCACATTTCTCCAGCAGCTGGAACCTAGTGCTGGGCAGCCCCCTCTTTGTCCGCAGATGCCCACATCTCTTGGATTGGGGGTGGTGAGCAGATGGCATATGCTTATTGAAGGCCCAGCTCAGCTGTCTCCTCCTCTGCAAAGCTTTTTGGACTCCCTGTGCAAAATGATCTACAGCGCGTTTCACAATGCCTAGTATGACTGTGTGACCTTGGGTGAGTTGCTCAACCTCTCTGAACCTCGGTTTCTTCCCCTGTGAAATGGGTACACCCACACCTGCTTGTGTTGGGAGGGTTGGATGAGATCAAGGGCATTCAGCTACACTTAGCACAGGAGCCTAACTGGGTAAGAGCTCAACACAGGAGCACCGGGAATCAAACCAGCAACCTTTATGAAGGAGTACCTGTGTTAGGGGCCTTTCAGTCAGTCCCCCTCAGCTCACCCCAACTCCTGACACTAGAACTGATGCTTCTCTTTGGGTCCCCAGCACCTAGCCTGGGAGAGGAGCAGAGCATGGAGCTTGGTGAATGTCTGAGAAATGAGCCAACAAAGATTTAGGGCAGAGTCTAAACGCATTTTGGGGGATGGGTTTAAGGGGTCTTTGAGCCCCCTGAAATTGTCCACAAGTTTTGATGAGCCTGGGCATTTTCTTGGGGAAAAAGCCTGGAATTTCCATTGGCTTCTCAAGGTGTCTGTAGGCCACCAAGGGTTAGGAGGCAGGGAGAGTTGGGCACAGCTATTTCCCAGAGGAAAGGAGCAGGGCCTCCGCCCCTAAACACGCTGAGGCCTAAGCTCTCCTCCCCTCTTCTGGCTGGGGGGTCCTTCCTGCCTCCTTGGCTCAGCTAGAGAGTCTCAGGAGTGGAAACTTTAGGGACTGTATAGCTGGGGCAGGTCATATGCCGGGGGGCTGAAGACAAGAAATGGAAGATGCAGATGCAGCCTTAAGGAGCCTCAGGCCAGTGTGGGAGACAAGAGATGACTACACTGTGACCATGGTGATGGGAAGGGGTGGAGGGAGGTGTCAAGGAAAGAAATGTCTACGCTGAAACAAGCCACTGTCATATCTTACCTGGCTTTCTACGCTGGCCTCTCTCCCTCTTTTAAAACATTTATTAGATGGTGAAACCCCCTTGCTTAACATCTTCACTGGCTTCCTGTGACACCTAATAAACTCCAGGTGCCTTACCCTGGTGTACCAGTCCTCTTGGGATCTAGCTCGGTCTTTCTGATTTCATCTCCCTCTGCCACTTTCTCCATTTGTTGAGCTCCAGCCACACTGCCTCCTTATTGCTTTAATTCACCTAGCTCATTCCTGTGTCAAGGCCTTTGCACTTTCTGTTCCCTCTGCCAAATGCTTTTCCCCCATATCTTCAAATGGCTGGCTCCTTCTCTTTCAGCACTGAGCTCAAATGTCACCTCAGAGAGGCTTTCCTGGCACCCCTGTGTAAAGTATCCCCCACCCCATCCGTCTGTCTCTTAATTCTGTTTTCTTTTCTCCATAGCTCACTTTATTTAACATCACTCATCGTCTGTCACGGACTTAGAATGCCAGCTCCATGAGGGTAGGAATCTTGCCAATTCTGTTCACTGCTTTATCCACAGAGCATGGCACATAATATATGCTCCAGTCAGTTGTTGAAAGAGTTAAGAAAGCTTTCTGGACAAAGGGAAGAGTAAAAGAGCTCTAATACGTATGCTCCTCTCATAGGCCTGACCCATTATGTGTTCTGTTATGTAAGCATTATAAGAGCCCTTTACAGTTAGGTACTCTTTTTTATACCCATTTTACTGAAACTCTGATGCAAAAAGGTAAAGTAACTCACCCAGGAACTGGCAAAGCTGGGATTCGAACCCAGTTCCCTCCTCAAAAGCAGGGGCCTCTTCCTCTCCACCTCTCTGATATTTGAGCTGGGACTTCAAGAACAGGATTTCAGCATGTAAAGGAGAAGGGAGGGGGCATTCTAGGCAGAGGGAATGACAGGAGCAAAGGCATGGGGCACCAGGCAGCCCAATAGGTGTGGAAGGGTAGGTGAGCAGCCTGGTGTGGCCTTGGAAGGCCAGGAAGGAGTCTTAATTCTCTTCTGAGGGTAATGGGGAACCACTGAAGGTTTTGAATCGGGGCAGTGGCATGAGCAGAGATGCAGTTTTAAAAGTTTACTCTGAGATTGACCAGGAAGTGGGGAAAGGGTTTGGGGTGGGGGACCTGCCTCCTGTCGCTCTTCATCCTTTTCCATCAGCCCCCTTGGGACAGCCATAGGAGCCTCTAACACTCACATGTCATTCCCCCTCCTTTTTTTTTTAGGCTTATCCAGTGAGGACTGGAAGTTGAGGGTTCTAGACCTAGGCATCAAAGTGGACCATGGCCTCCAGCCCATGGGGCCATGTACATGGCCTCCTGCTGCTATTGCTGCTGCTGTGTCTGGGGGCTGGCCCTGCCCTGGGCGGGAGCCTTCCCAAGGCACAAGAGGACTGGGAACCACACCTGATCCCAGGAGCCCACCCCAGGGGCCCCGTTGGCACAGAGCCCGAAGCCTTCCTCTGGCAGAAGCCCAGAGATGAGAGCCCTTGGAACTCCAGTGTCCCCCAGGTCCGTGCGGAGGAGGTGCCTCAAAGGATCGAAGATTCTCCCCTTGGCCCAGCCCTGCATGGACCTCAAGCAGCCCAGGGGGCTCAGAGAGAAGGACTCCCAGTAACTGATGACTTCCAGGTGGTTCAAGGGCCAAATTCTCAGGGCTGGACAGGACCTCCTGACTCACAGGAGCCTCTGGAGCAAGATGCACCAGCACCCCATCCAGTGGGGTCCCCCCATCTCACTTTCATCCCAACAACTCCCCGACTCCAGCTCAGGGTAGCCACAGTTCCTCCCTCCTCAAAGGAGCCTGGAGGCCAAGTGGGACAACGACCAGTTGGAGATGAGGGTCTGGTTGCTGAAGCCAAGCCCAGAGTCTCAGAGACATCCCCCTCCGCCCACCAGGGTCCTCCCCACACTCTTGCACCTGACTCAGGCACTATCAGGAAGCCAGTACTGGAAGAACAGGATGGGGGTGAGGAAGACTTCCAAGAGGCAGCTCAAGGCCCCATCTTCACCCAGCAGGATCCAGCAGCCTCTGTGATTGGCTCAGTATCCCCAGTTGAGGTGGCATCCACTCAGGAGCCTGGGTTCCAACCAGACCTGGCATTGACCAGAAGCCTTCCTCCTGCCAACGAGCTGCCAGCTGAGCCCCCCAAGAAGGCTAAAGGTGGGGAGATCTGGGCAGTCAGTTTTCCAAGTCCCTCACTGAAGCAGGCTGACTTCCCTGATGTTCAGGGCTCCCCAGGACCCCAACCTTCAGGTCCTCCAGCCTCAGAGACTCCTCATGAGCAGCCCAAGCCAGATGGGTACCAAGGTGAGGGTGCCATGCAGGGCTGGGAGGGGCAGTGTTCCATGGCAGCTGGATGCCCCAGTTTCTGTGTGTCCCCTGGCCCCATTGGGTCCCATTTTCCTTTCTGAGGGTGATTGTGCCTCCCTCCTGGGGGATTAGACTTCGGGGACTGCTGGAGGGGTCAGGCAAAGTTGATGACTGCTTTTGTCATTTCAGAGATAGCAGCAATGAATGGAGCAGACCCCATCTCTCCCCAGAGGGTGAGAGGAGCAGTAGGGGCCCCAGAAACTCCCAAGGCCCTCATCCCCCCTGGCCCCTCGGACCCGGGCCCAGCTACAAACCAAACGGAAAGTCCTGTGAGGACCCTGCAGCCAGGTGAGGGCATGGCTGGGGGTTTGAGGAGAGTGGTACTCTGTTTAATAACAAAGAAGTATGTGAGGTCCATATGGGAAAGTGGGGAGTGAGGACAAACAGCTCTTAAAGGAATTGGCTAGGACCTCCTTCAAACAACTTGGGATAATAAACTAATACTCACTGGCTACTCTGGGAGAAGTCATGTGACCTTTGGGGGCTAGAATGTTCTTAAATGTAACATGGATGTATTTAGTGCAGTGATTCTCCAACTCTGGCAAATCACTCAAGGAGCTTTTAAAAAATTCCCACGGAATTCTGATTCAGTCGGTCTCCAGGTGATTCTAATATTAAGCCCATGCTGAGAACTGCTGGTATATTATTAATAAAAATGGCAGCTCGCATCCATTTAACACTTATTGGGCGCTGGGCACTATGCTAAACATTCAGTCCTCACCACAATCCGGTGAGGTAGGTGTTGCTACCACCCCCATTTTACAGATGTGCTTGGAAAAGTTAAATAACTTGCCCTTCACATTAGGGAATAATGTAAAATCAAAAACATTTTACGAAGGGCTATTTTAATATTGTTATTATTGCAGACGAAGCCGAGGAGTGGCCGGGGCGCCCCCAAAGCCATCCCCCAGCACCCCCAGTCCAGGCCCCCTCGACGTCACGCCGGGGCCTCATTCGGGTCACCACACAGCGCGCCCTGGGACAGCCAGCTCCTCCGGAGCCCTCAGCCAGCTCCATGGCATCTGCCCCAGCCTCTAGCCCCCCGGCCAACGCCACCGCACCCCCCCTGCGCTGGGGTCCCCTTCGGCGGGTGCTGAGCTTTTCCTGGGAGCTGCACGTCTATGGGGTAGGGGCGCTCTTTCTGCTGCCGGCGTTGCTGTCAATGGCCTCTCTGGCAGCCGCCTCTACGGGGCCCTGGCTGGCACTGGTGGCGGCAGTGCTGGTGCTCCTAGCATCGGGGCTGCGATCTGCCTACATGCTTGCCGACCCCTACGGCTCGCAGGCGCGGCTGGGCTTACGCGCCGGCCTGGTGCTCTACAACCTACCCTTCCCCTTGCTGCTCACCGCGTTGGCGGCCCTGACCCTGCTAGGACTGGGTGCGGGGCTGCCCCCGCAGCTGCAGAACCCGCTCCTGCTCGGAGTCCTGGCGTTGACTCACGGCGTGGGGTTGCTCGCTACAGACCTGCTGTCGTCGACACCGGCGCTCAACCTCCTGGCTCAGGGCTTCTCGTGCGCCTGGGGCGCAGCCGTGGCTCTGGGCACGCTCTGCCTGTGCCGTCGCCGCCTGCTGGACGGGCCGCGGGGCTGGGATGCCAGCCCGGGGCCGCGGCTGCTGGCGGTGGCGGGCTCCCTGGGCCTGCTGGCTAGCGGTTTACAGCTGGCAGCTGCCCTCTGGCTGTACCCAGGCCCAGGCCGCGTGGGCCGCTTCTCATGGGCCTGGTGGGGGGTCCATTTCTGGCTGCGACTGCTGGAGCTGACCTGGGCCCTCGTCTTGGCACTGGCTGCTGTGGTCGCGGCGCGGCCCAGGCCGCCCACGGAGCATGCGTGCTGGGCGAAGCTGCGGCGCCTGGCGTGTCCTGCGCCCTCGGGCAAAAGCGAGGTTCCGGAGCGACCCAACAACTGCTACGCGGGGCCCAGCGGCGTTGGCGTCGGCAGCTTGGAGATCAGCAAGAGCCTCATCCGCAACTCTGCGGAGGGAGCGCCGCCTGCCACCCCCAGTTCAGGCGCCTGGGGCTCGGCTGCGTCACTGGGCCGCGGCCCCCAGGGTGGCCCGGTCCTCTCCCGTAGCAGCGTGGGGCCGGCTCCGTCGATGAGCGAGCTGGACCTGCGGCCGCCGTCACCCATCAACCTGAGCCGCAGCATCGACGCCGCGCTCTTCCGAGAGCACTTGGTGCGCGACAGCGTGTTCCGACGCTGCGGCCTGCGCGGTCTGGCCTCCCCGCCGCCTGGGGGCGCGCTGCGGCCGCGCCGGGGCAGCCATCCGGACACTGAGCTCGACGGTGCGGGCTCCTTGCTCCGTGGCCGCTGCCGGTCGCTCAGCGACGTGCGCGTCCGCGGGCCGGTCCCACCACACGTAGTGGATGAGCCGGATCAGGTGGCTTCTGGCAGCTCCATGGACAGCTTCTCCCGGGGCTCGCTCAAGATCAGCTGGAACCCGTGGCGCCACGGGCTGTCGTCGGTGGACAGCCTGCCCCTAGATGAGCTGCCCAGTACGGTGCAACTACTGCCAGCCCCAGCCACTGCAACTGCTCCCAGCCGGCCCATAGAACCCCGGAGTGAGATCCAGCCTTCCTGCAAGCCAGGGGACTCTCGCAGCGCCTCCAGTGACACCATTGAACTCTGAGCCGATCCCACACTGTTGCAGGACCAGCCTTCAGTGACCATATGGCATGGCTGACTGGGACAGTTGAGCCTTTAAAAAACTGGCATCCTGGGGCCTGAACCTGATTGCAGCCCCTGGAAGCAGCCAGGAGTGTCCCCAACCCCCACCCGCGTTTTTTGTTTTTAAATATCTCTATTTTTTTCCAGCAGGTATTTTGCACAGAGGCTGTGATTTATATGGAATACAGGGTGGACATGCATGGATTTGGGTATGAGGAATGGGGTCCAGGTGCCCCAAACACCCCTCCAGACTCCCCATTGTGGAAGGATGAGGCTCGCTTGTCTAGATTGAATGTCCTCTTTGTGCCAAAGAAATAAACCTTTAGGATTGGCTCATGCCTCCCTCTGGCCATGCCAGGATCCTGTTCAGAGAAGAGTAGGAGGGCCCACCCTCCAGTAATTCCATGTCCAGTATGTGGGACAGGGGAACTTCCAAAGGAAAGGGCACTGGACCCTTAGCAGCTTTAGAAATAAGGCTATCGATATTTTATTGAACATCTATTTGTTGTACACTGTCTTCAGCTCTTTACTTCACCACCTTATTTAATTCTCATAATAAGCCTGAGTGGAAAGCATTATCAAGCCCATTTTATAAATGAGAAGAGTAAGGTTCAGAGACAAAAGTCATTTTGTCCAGGGTCCTTTGGCCCAAATAATAGCTGATACTGAACCCAGAAAGTTCCATCCCTGAAGCTGGGTCCTCCATCCCCTTCTCCTAACACAACTTCAGGGCCAAGCCTCTCCTCCTTTTACTCTTCCTCCAGGGTAGCCCTCAATTTCCCAGGGTTTTAGAAAAATTTCCCAAGGGTCAGGGCCTCTCAGTAGCTTAGGCCAACCATGGGAGTGGGAGGGCAGGCAGTAAAACTGAAGCTTCTCCGTTTTCCAAGATCTTCTTTATTTCCTGAGATGAATAAATAAATCAGTGGCTGAGGGGTGAGGAATGGGGGAGGTGAATATGGAACAGGAGCTGGCAGCATGCAGCTGGCAGGAGGAGGCTATGATGGACTCACCCCTGCAGGAGCCCACTCCCCTCATCCTGCGCAGGGGCCAAGGCTCACTAGCAGCCACCATAAGGAGACACTTAAAATCCACACACATTATGAAGCCTGCCCAGTCTCCTCAAGGCCAAGATCCCATGGCTTCCATTTTTAGGGCTCCTTCCGCATCCCAGGGGCCTCACCTGCCCAGGTCTGGGTGCCTAGGCTGCTCCGTAGGTGGGTAGGGGGTACTTAGCCTACTCTCAAAAATAAAGCCAGCCGCCTTGAGTGTCCAGGCAGAAGAGAGGCCTGGCTTCTGGAGGCAGCCTGGTGGGAGGAGATCCTGCAGGCATGGCAGAGATTATCTGCCCTTGATGAAGCCTTCCAGCACCCGGTCACTGCGCTCTGACAACCAGTAGCCAGTCATGGCCGCCACAGCCCCAATGAAGATGGCGGTAAAGACCAAATCACCCTTGGCAGCCAGCGTGGCCAGTGCACAGATGATGACACCGAAGAACATCTGCTGCAGCACCACCAGCTCATCCTCTGTCATCTCTGAGAAGAAGCCCGCTGACTCTGCGAGGAATAAGAAGCACCTGTCACTCCTCCCCCATTCTTAGAGTCTCCCACGCACCCAGTCATCGCTGCCACCTGCCTGCTAGGCGTGCCAGCACGCGATGTCGTTTACTGCTGAGAACGACTCTAGAGGGGCAGTTATTATCCCTGTCTCACTGAACAGGAAACTGAGGCTCAGAGAGGTAGAGGTTTGCCCAAGGCCACGTGGTGAGCGAGTTGTGACAGAGCATGTGCTATGTGTACTAGCCCAGCTCCAGAGCCAGACTTCCAGGATTCAACACCCAGCTCTGCGACCTGCTTGCTGGGTGGCCCTGGGCAAGTGGCTTCATTTCTCTGCATCCTAGTCTCCACTATGGGGATGAGAAAGATACCTACAGCGTTGGATTTGTTTTAGTGTAAAGTAAGTTAATACATGCAACATGCTTGGAACAGTGTCTGACATATGGTAAGAGTTGCGGAAGTGATCACTAATTATATCATTGTAGCTGTCCATCTCACCACACCATGGCCTACAATAGCTCTCAGAGGGCCAGGGCTAGGACTGGTCCCATTGGACAGATGAGGAAAGAGGCTAGGGGAGGCAGAGTAATTTGATGCCAAGTCCTATTTTCTTTCTACCCCAAGGAGGTGTGAGGCCACCAAAAGCTACTCAGGAGAAGATGTAGGCTTCAGGTCTCAATGCAGCCTCACAGGGGCTGAGGGGTTATAAATGCTTGGAGAACGGGTTTGGTGGGGGCCAAGTTGGGACTCACCTGGGATCTGCTCCTTCACACAGATGCCCTCAATCTGTTTGTAGCCCTCAGCACAGACACAACGGTAACTGCCCTCGGTGTTCTCACATTGCTCATTCTCTCCGGGACACACCTCTGTCTCACACTCGTCCACATCTTGAGGGAGGGCAAGGAGGGATCAGAGCGACTTCCAGGGTTCCACAGGCAGCACCCCGACCCTGCCTCGTTCACATTCCGGCACTCCCTTCTGCCCTTTCCCAGGTAACATTCACCCTTCCCCTAGCCTGTTCACATTCCAGCCCCTCTCAATTCATGGTGGCAAGGCACTCCAAGGTACCTGGGCCCCACTGGCTGGATACTCACCGAGACACTTGGAGCCCACCTGCTGGTAGCCAGGGCTACACTTCTTACAGCGGCCTGGCCCTGCCCCCATGCAGCCCAGGCAGGCCTTGGCACAGTCTGGAGAAGAGAGAGGAGAGAGAAGGTTAAGAGCTGCCCCTAAATCCAAGGGGTTCTGGTGCCAGAGAAGGCAGAAGTTTGGGGGGAACAGGCGTGGAGCAGCTCCTCCTAACTTTCCCACTTCCCCTCCCCGGCAGGAGTGGACACTCACCTCGGCACTCATAGGAGCCCTCCGTGTTCACGCAGAATTGGTCGGCTCCACAGTTGGCTCGCTCTGTGCCACACTCGTCAATATCTACAGAAAGGCCGGCAAGATGGGGAATTTCAGTCAGTTCACTAACAGGGAAGCTGAGACCAGAACTGTTGCAGAATGGAGTTGCCAGGCTCATATGGTGTGGTAGCAACGGCAGGCTGTCCACCAACACAGAAGGAGAGGTGCAGCTGGACTCCAGGCTGCCCAGGCAGAGAGTACATTTTCCAATCTGCCTTGCTACTCAGTATGGCCTTGTGGTTGAGTTCTGGCCGACAGGATGTAAACAGAAGTGATGTGCTCCACTTTCAGCTTGGCTTTAAAACAAAGGGCTTGGACTCATCCATGCACTCTCTTCTCTTTCTTACTTCCTGAGTGCCAGGGCATGGAACACAGAAGTGCCTGGGAACGAGCCTCAACCACAAAGGCAACACCCAACGGGATGACTGCACAGTAAGAAAGAAGGAATCTGGGTGCTTGAATGATTGTGACAAAAACAGCGTCCCTGACAGCCTGGACTACTTGCTCTGAGACTGTGATTTAAGATAAAAATAAACCTCTCTATTCTTTAAGCCATAATCTTTGGGGATCTTTTTGTCACAGTATCTTAGTCATTACTCTCACTTATACAAATGGCTAGGTTTGAGACAGACCAAGTCTCAAACCCAGGTCTCCTGACCCAAGTTCAATATCCTCATTCCCTCTGGCTAACCCTTTCTCAACTGAACAGACTTGGTCTAAATCAGTGGTTCTCAACCTTCTGGCCCTTTAAATACAGTTCCTCATGTTGTGACCCAACCATAAAATTATTTTCGTTGCTACTTCATAATGGTAATGTTGCTACTGTTATGAATCGTAATGTAAATATCTGATATGCAGGATGGTCTTAGGCGACCCCTGTGAAAGGGTCGTTCAACCGCCAAAGGGGTCGCGACCCACAGGTTGAGAACCGCTGCTCTAAATGGTATCTCCTCTAAGAAGCCTTTCCTGATTCCTTACCATCACCCAGCTGGATCAGGGACATCTCTCATTGTACAAAGATCAGTCTGTACTGTAAGTGCCTGGTTACTTTTCTGCCTTCCCAACCAGGCTGAGATCTCCATAAAGATGAGAACTGTGTTGGTCTAGCCCAGAGATGTGGGTATTGATGGAGAACCAAGCCCAGGCCCATCTACCTCCCAGACCTAAGGCACAGCCCCACTCACCTACACACTTGAGGTGATGCAGGGCCCAGCCCCTCTTGCACTGTAAACAGTTTGATTCCTCAGGTCCTGAGCAGCGGGCACAGGGGCCAAAGCAAGCTGGGGGGAATGACGGAAGTAAGAGAATGAGCAGGCAGGCATCCCATCAGCCCCTGCCCAGCGCCTCACCTTTTGGCTACCTACCCGAACATACCAGATGGCTGGCGTTGCGCTCCACCTCAAAGTAGCCGAGGCTGCATTGGCCACAGGCCTCACCCCCATAGCCGGCTTGGCAGTCACAGTGCCCGCTGCCCCCTCGAGTCCCTTCCCCTTCACAATGCCCGTAGCCACCGCAGGGCTTCTCTGTACCCCCGGGACAGGCTGTGGGCAGACACCAAACCGGGTGAGACTGTAAAAACAATCTTGTATATAGAAAACATTAACATTTTTGGAAAGAAAACTTAATAGCAACATAATATGTTGTCATAAAACTGTATGAAATTTACTTAACCTCTACTCCACTATGGAACAATTAGGTTATTTACAAATCTTTTCTTTTATAAACACTGACTTGATCATCTTTGTCACTGACTCTTTATCTGCACCTTCTGCGGAAAGATTTTTCTAAAAGGGGCTGGTAATAAATTTAGCTCCTGAATCAGAACTGTGTGTAGAAAAAGGTGGTGACAATGGGGGCATCAAGACAGCACCTGCCAACTGGAGGAAGGTCCCCTTAGTTCAAGGGATGGGGCCTGGTCTGACCCCAGGCATGGGAAATGAGGGGTGGAGGTGGAAGCATTTCTCAAATATAAGATAAAACCACAGCAGCATCTGACTCAGTCTAACCACACACATATCTTTTTACAGAGCCATTCCCCATTGATTTGCTCATCTCGTCAGCCCTGTGAGGCAAGTAAGAACTAAGGTCCAGAGAAGTTATCTGAGCAGCCTAAGTGCACACAGCCAGCTAGGGGCAGAGCCAGGACAAGAGTCCTGGCCTCAGCAGTCCCCTCCCATCCCTTAAGAGGAACTTGAATAACTCACGAAGGCAGGAGGGCCCGAAGGTGCCTGAGGGACAGCAGAGCTTCAGGGAATCTGAGCAGAGCCACTGGAAGAGGTCTGGGGCTTCCTGCTGCCTGAGGCAGGGAGGTGGTGTGACAGTGAGGGGGCCTCAGTCAGTTGTCAGAGATGCTGCCCATCCCCCAACCTCCCACCGGATCTCTGATACAACCCAATGCATAAGACCCCTAAGACCACCTGACCAACGCCCTTTTCTCATTTGGCAGAGGGGCAAACTGAAGCTCAGAGTGAGAGCTCCTTCAGCAAGTCCTTAGCAGATCTGGGTTTGGAAGGAGCCAAACAAGGACACAGCCCCCTAGCATGCAATCCCCTGCTTTACTATCTGGCCCTGCCTGTGGCCCCTCCCTGGGAAAGCCCCCACGCCACTCACTTGTGAAACCACCAACTCTCCACCAGCTCCTCGCTCAGCTCCAACAGGCGATGGCACTCAAAGTCCGACTTGCTGCACACGTTCTCAAGCACTTCTACCAGGCGGGTCTCACTGGCCAGACAGGGCAGAGTAGTGTAAACACATTCCACGACACCCACCAGCCTCCTTAAGGTCTCTCCCACCACGCCTCACGCCATGACAGGGTCAAAGGAAAGGGCAGAGGGCATAATGGAAGGGATACTGGTTTTGAGTCAGACAGACCTGAGTTTGAATCTAGTTGTATGACCTTGGGCAAGTCAATCTCTCTTGAACCTGTTCTCTCTTCTGTAAAATGGGGACACCACCTCCCCTACAGGTTTGTTGTATAATACCGTAGTTCCTGCCTCTGCACAATGGAATATGTACTCTTGCTGGGTAGATGTAAGTAAAAATATATCATATAGCAAGTGTTGGTGAGGAAGTGGAGAAACTGGAACCCTCCTACATTATAGGTGAGAATGAAAAATGGTGCAGACACTGTGGAAAACAGTTTGGCAATTCCTTGATAAGTTAAACATGGAATCATCATAGGACTCAGTAACTGCACTCCTGGATTTGCACCCAAAAGAATGGAAACAGGTGTTCAAACAAAAACGTGTACACAAATGTTCATTGCAATAGTATCCACAATAGCCAAAAGATAGAAACAACCCAAATGTTCATCAAATGATGAATGGATACACCAAATGTGGTATATTCATACAACAGAATATTATTAAGCCTTAAAAAGGAATAAAATATTAATATATGCTACAATATAGATAAACCTTCAAATTTTTGATAAGTGAAAGAAACCAGACATAAAAGGCCACATATTATAGGATTCCAATAGAATTAGCAAATCTATAGAGACAGAAAGCAAATTAGTGATTGTCAAGGACTGAGGGGAGAATGAGAAGTGACTGCTTAATGGATATGGCGTTTCTTTTCGGGATAATGAAAATGTTCTGGAACTAGTGGTAATACTTGCACAACACTGTGAATGTACAAAATATCTCTAATGGTAAATGTTATGTGCTGTATATCTACCTCAATAACAAATAAAATATACATAAACACACACATATAATGGATTATATCTTTAAAGAGTCTGACCTAGTGACTGGCATATAGGAGGAGGTGGTTTTAAAAAACTGCAAAAGCCCTGGCCAGTGTTGCTCAGTGGATAGAGTGTCAGCCCGCACACTGAAGGGCTGCAGGTTCGATTTCTAGTCATGGGCATGTACCTGGGTTACTTCACCTTCTACCACTCCATTCCAGCCACTTCTCAAATACTCCAAGCTCAGTCTCACTCTGTCCACTTCTCTTCTCTGATTGTCACATAGCTTGCTTCTTCACTTCAGGTCTCTGTTCAAATGTCACACCTTGGACACCATGCTTCTCATCATTCTGTAGTCCACCCTGTTTTACTGTTATTCACCTTATGTGACATTATTTATTGCCTTATTCACCACCTATCTCCTCTACAAGAATGTAAGCTATTTGAAGATGGGATTTGGCTTGCCTTGTTTACTGCTGTACTATAGATATTCAGTGATTATTTGTTGAATGAGTAAGCATTCCCCAAAAGGCTCTAGGTCCCCACTCGTAGAACAGAGACTGGGAGGTGAGCTATACAATCCCAGCTTTCCAGCCCTTACCTGTCTTTGTATTTGGACAACTTCTCTTCTTCCCAGGCAGTATTTCCACCTCCAAAGTTGTCCCGGTTGGTTCTCTCCAGGCCCTGGAAATGGAGAAAATTAGTAATACCTAAGTACGGAAGTCCAATGCCTGGGGCATTCTAGCACTTCAGTCTTTCACTGACCAGGCAACAGGCCACACAACTAGTTAAGTAACCAAGTTGGGACTTGAATCCATACAGACTTGCATCCCAGATCTCCCCACTCTCGGCCACTTGCTATAGCAGCCAGGCCCCTCCCACCGGGCTGCGGGGCACTCACCTTGTTGAAGCTGTCGACCAGTCCCCGACAGGTATGACACGGATGGGGCTCGGTTGGGGGCGAAGACTGGGGAGGCGGAGAGGGCTGGAGCCAAACTGGGCCTGGGAGGCTGCAGAAGAGGCTCAGGCCCCAGACCAGAGCTGGGACCAGGCCTCTTGGGGGTCGCGGGGCCATCCTTTCCCAGGCCGGGGACCTACAGATGGAAGACATGGGTAGGGTGCACTGGAGGAGCCAGGTGGGAAAGGCAGCGTCGGTGCTGAGATGCCAGGGGTCTGGGAGCCCAGATCTGTTATTTTAAAAAGGGAGGCCGGACTGGGATTGGGGCGAGAGAGGGTATGGTGGGGAAATGAGCGGCAATAAGTTATCCCCGTTACCGTTGGGGAGGTAGCCTGCACCCTTGGCAAGGAAGCAAAAGTCAGCCCATTGTTTTAGGGTCTGAATGTAGGTTTATTAGGGGCAGGATCAGTGGAATTAGGTAGAAGGGGGTCAGATTCCAAGTATTGGGGAAGAAGAAGCCGGATGAACGATTTGCGTGGATAGGAAGAGAAGGGGTCAGGTTCAGGGCCCGCAGGCCGCCAAAGCACGGCCCGCGAGCCGGCAGGGGAGGATCCAGATCCCTGAGATCGTGGGGGAGGAAGAGACGACGCACCCAGCCTGCCGCAGGCGCAGACCGCTGTCTGCTCAGCGCCACCTCCTCTACCGCCTGCGTCAGACGTGCCACCTCCGCCAACCCCGCAGCCCGGAGGGCGGAGCCCACGCCGCAGCCAATGGTGACGAGCCATGTACCGTTGCGTCATCCCGCCCCAGCCAACCAGAGGTGGCGCCGGGCTGCACCTGTCGGGCGGTTAAAGGGCCGCGGGGACCCGGACCGCGGGCTGCGTGCCAGGCTAGCCGCTCTGTCAGAGACACACATTAGAAGAGACGTGGATAGAAAAATAGCGTCTGCCTTTATTCAAGTCCTGTCCCCCGCCTCGGGTGCCATCTCGAGTCCTGTCTCTTGGGTCCCCGGGGGCAGGAGGCAGCTGTCCAGGGCGGGCTGAAGGGCTCGAGACACTCGCTCCGCCCTATTCGAGAGCCACCCGGGGCGGGCGGCGCCGGGCCCCTGCAGAGTCCGCAGGAAGTCCGGCAGCTGGGAAGGCAGGGCGAGGACTGGCACGGCGCGGAACAGGGCGGGCACGGCATCCGGGTGGAGCAGGCCCTCGAAGTAGGCCCCGATGTAGCGGCCGGGCGCCCGGCCCTGCAAAAAGTCGGGCAACACACAACTGAGCGAGGCAGCAAAGGCGTCGTGCGGGCGGTGCGCCCCGGGCGTGGACGACGTTCCGTCCTGCAGCCACTCCTGGCACAGCGCCACGGCCCCGGGCGAGAAGAGCAAGATCACCACGCCGCCCTCCTGCAGGATCTGAAGCCGCTGTGCGTGGAACCAGGCCAAGGACCCCTGCGCGCTCAGCTCACGACGACTCCACAGGTCCACGGCCACGCGCAACGGCAGCTGGCACAGGGCGGACGCCAGGGTGCCAACGAGGCGCTCGAAGCCCGCGTCGTCGGCCGAGTACAGCAGCAGAGCAGCGCGGCCCCTGGCGGCCGCTGCGGGAGAAAACAGAGGGGGAAGGAAGATGTGAGATGGCCTGAGGCCCGGCCCGCTGGGGGCGGCCCCCCCGCCGGGCGCTGGCTCACACTCACCCCCCGAGTAGACATCCTCCTTCAGGAGCCTCAGCCACCCTGTTCAGGGAGAGGGGCGGAGGCAACGGGTGAGCTCGGATGCTGCTTCCTGTCTCTGAACTCCCAGGCCCCATCCTGTCCTACCTCTGGGGAATGGGGAGCCGGAAATGACTCACCTTTCACATGGTCCTTTTTGAGGAGGAGGAGAAGGAAAAGCACAGCAGCAAAGAGTAGGCAGGCCAGCCACACCAGGGCCCAGCGCTGGTGGATATCTGGGAGGCCAAGGGGAGGAGATGGGCTGGTTAGAGACCTTACACTTAAACCCCACTTCATGAAGGAGAAATGAAGTAAGTTGCCCAAAGTCCACAGCACTTAGTGTCAGAGCCAGTATATGAATATAGGCCAGGGGTGGGCAAACTTTTTGACTCGAGGGCCACAATGGGTTCTTTTTTTTTTTTTTTTTTTAATATATTTTATTGATTTTTTTACAGAGAGAAAGGGAGAGAGATAGAGAGTTAGAAACATCGATCAGCTGCCTCCCACTGGGGATATGCCTGCAACCCAGGTACATGCCCTTGACCGGAATCGAACCTGGGACCTTTCAGTCCGCAGGCCGACGCTCTATCCACTGAGCCAAACCGGTTGCAGCCACAATGGGTTCTTAAACTGGACCGGAGGGCCGGAACTAAAGCATGGATGGAGTGTTTGTGTGAACTAATATAAATTCAAAGTAAACATCATTACATAAAAGGGTACGGTCTTTTATTTCAATAGTTTTATTCATTTCAAACGGGCCGAATCCGGCCCACAGGCCGTAGTTTGCCCACGGCTGATATAGACCCATCTACTTGAGTGACCTTGGATAAGTGACTTCACTTTCTGTGTCCGATTTTCACCTCTGTAAAATTGAGATAACAATAGTACCTACTGATAGGGTTGTTGTGAGAACTACATCTGTTAATACACATAAAGCACTTGCAATGCCAGGGCATGGTAAGTCCTCAAAGGTCATTATTATTGTCCCTTAAGCCTAGGGTGGCTGGGTCCTTGACTTCACTCTCTCCGGTGACTGCAACAGCCTTCTGATATCCCTGACCTCTTTTTTGTCTCCAATTTATTCACCACGTGGCATACCCAAAGATCTTTTAAAAATACAAATCTGATTATAGTCTTTTAGAAAGCTCCTGCTACTCTGAAGGTAAATTCCAAATTCCTTACTTTGGCTCCCAAGACCCTATATGGCCCATGCATCCTCAGCTCATGATAGGGGTCTGCCTCCCAAGGCATTCCAACCACACCGACCACTGTGGAGTTCCTCAAAAAAGCACCCCACAGTCTTCACAAAAATGCATCTGTAACTCCTTCACCTAGATCAGCCTTCAGAATTCAGCTCAAACCTTTCCCCTGAACTCCTTACCCCATCACAGTCAGGTCCCTGTTACATGCATTCATGGCTTTGGACACTTACTTTGTAGAAAGCGCCTCAATAGCTCACACCTACCAAATGATTTGGGGCTAATGCCTTTCTAGCCTTCTATGACTGGGGTGGGGGCATGTATTGTATCTTGGTGATGCTGGGATGGCCTGCAAGCTCTCATCATGGTTTCTGAATGAGTGAAGAATGACTCTTTGATTTATCTGAGCCAGGGAAGGACATTGCGTGTGTTGCCTGCATGAGTGGTTCCTGTCAAGATTTCAGCTTCTAGAGAGCTGTGAAGAGGAAGGGCCATTCTTGTAATACTCACACTTGTCCATGGGGCAGGCCCATAGTGCTCCCAGGTCATCATCCCACAGCTGTAAGACACAAACAAAACCAAGCCCTGAGCCCTCAGCTTATGGTTCAGCACTCACCAAATTCTCGCTAGCCTGAGCTCCAAAATTTCCAGCCTCAATTATGCATATTTCCCCCACACACATAGCAGGTTCTCGTAAGCTACTCTGGCTTTGCTTATGCTTATTGCCTGGACTGTGCCTTCATGCCAGATCTGGCCCACAGGAAGAGACCCTTCCTTGGTTCTCCCTGGAAACCAGCGCTTAGCACATGTGAATGTTGTTATCTGTTTATGGGTTTATAGCCAGCAGTGAGTAACTTGGGGACAGGAACTATGCTCCTTCAAACTCTTAGCTTCCCCACGACTGGAAACAAAAAAAAAGCACAAATAGATGGTGGATGGGTGCTAGAAGGACAGTGAGGAGGCCTCTGCCTGGGAAGAGTGAGTCTCCCTGGTGCCTTCAGGCACAGGAAGGAGTGGAAGAGGCCAAAGGTAGAGTGTTAGGGTTGTTGCCCTTGGATGTTGGGGCAGGGCTCTCCTGCCACCTACTCACCTGCAGACACTGTCCTGACTGCAGGTCTTGTAGTAACTGCTCTCCAAGGCGAGCTGCCCTCTGCCAAGCCAAGGGGTAGGAGGCTGTCACCTAGGGGCACTGCACCTAGGAGACCACCAGGCTGCATGCCGCTGGGCAGAGTGAGGGGATGGCACTAGGAGTTGGGAGATTTCTGAGAGACCACTGAGAACAAGGCCCAGGTCTGAATCACCCCCATGTCCCCAGAGACCAACACGGAGCCTGGCTCAGAGGAGGGGAAATTGAATAGAGGGAAAATTTGAGGCTAGTTTTGAGATGGAACTGGAGAGGTACATGGAGAAGGGTCCCCCACCCCTTACCGTGGAGGCCCTGCTGAGCAGTGGGGTGCAACCACTGGGTTCCAAGGCACAGATTGATCTGTTGTCCTGGGGGCCTCGTGTCTCCACCAGCAGCATATCGTCTTTGAGGGGCCCCAGAGAGTCTGAAAGGGATGAGAGACCACTCTTGAGACCCAACCTTGCTGGGGGCTGCCATGTGCCCCCCTCATACCTGACCTACACCCCTAGGAGCTGGCACTTCCAGGGTTCACCCCTATTGCGATGGCCCTGTCCCAGCCTCCTGCAGGCCCCACTCACCAGACCACAAGCACTCTTGCAGCTGCAGCTTCTCCCCACTGCTTACCTGCTTGGAAGAGGCCAGGATTAGGGGCATAAAGAAAGGCAAGAGTGCCCTGGCCGGTTTTCTCAGTGGTTAGAGCGTTGGCCTGAGGACCAAAGGGTCATGGGTTTGATTCTGATCAAGGGCACATGCCTCAGTTGATGGTTTGATTCCCCAACCTGGTTGGGGTGCTTGAAGGAGGCAGCCAATCTATGTGTCTCTTTCACGTTGATATTTCTATCTCTCTTTCTCCCCCTCCTCTCTCCATTCCACTCTCTCTAAAAATCAATGGAAAGAGTATCCTTGGTGAGGATTAAAAATAAAAAGAAAGAAAGGCAAGGGCCAAGGCCAGAAAGATCTGGAAAGAGAAGGGATAGGCAAGGGGAGGCCTCTTGGGTTGGGGGTTCTGCACTCTGGGCCTGACCTTAGGCAGATCTGGGTGATTAGGAATCACGCCATCTTTCTCAGCTTCAGCCTTGTGAGGTCATCTGTGCTAACAGGACTTGGGAACCTAAATTAGCTCTTTTCACATCTGGCAAGACACTTTATACATTCCCATCTAACTACCTTCTCAAAGAGGTCTCACCTGACCGCCCCACTTGAAATTGCAACCTTAATCCTCACTATCCTTCCCCACATTTCCCCATAGTATTTATATACAATTTTTTAAATCTTCACTAGAGGATTTTTTTAAAATATTTTTTATTGATTTCTTTCACAGAGAGGAAGGGAGAGAGATAGAGAGTTAGAAGCATCGATGCGAGAGAAACATCAATCAGCTGCCTCCTGCACACCTCCTATTGGGGTTGTGCCCGCAACCAAGGTACATGCCCTTGACCAGAATCGAATCTGGGACCCTTCAGTCTGCAGGCTGACGCTCTATCCACTGAGCCAAACAGGTTAGGGCGAGAGTGTTTTTATTGAAAAAAAATAATCGTTTTTTGAGAGACAGAGAGAGACATTGATGGGTTGCCTCCCAAATGCCCCTGACCAGAGATGGAACCCAAAGCCTAGGTATGTGC